TTTGTATTAGCTGGAGATTCTTTTTAATGCTAAAGCCAACAAAAAAAGAGTTTATAATCTGTATGTGGAGCCATATGTAAAGGAAAGGCAGAGGAATGAGGAAGAGAATGTAAGGCTCAGCTTTTTTAAAATTAAGAATAATTTTTAGCCTTAAAAGTTAAGGGGGTGGGGGGGAAATGGCAAGAAGGAAATAAAATCTAAAACTAAATTCAATTCCCTTTTTGATGGCATAATGAGAATGACAGGGCATGGAAACAGACCAAATGGTTTACTTGGATTTCAGCAAAGCTTCTGATAAATTACTATTAGCTAATAGTAATTAAGTGGTGTTGAAGGATTCATACATTACAGAGAACATTTAGACATGTTATTGGTTCAATGGATTGATATTGACCCTAACATGGACTACAGCAGCTTCAGAGAGGACTTTGCCCTGGCCCTCTCCTGTTGTCATTTTTATCAATAAGGGTATAAAATTAAATATTTTGAACTTGTTGATGTCATTAAGTGAGGCAGAATGGCAACTGTACAATGTGATAGAATTAGGGCCCAATATTTTTAAACAGATAGGAATAATGGTGTCAGTCTAGGAAGACAAAGTCTAATACCAGACCTTACCCTTAAAGAGCAGAAGTGTACACACTGTATGAGAAATTAAGGTGTTGCTCAGTTTAAAATCGTACTTTTAATGAAGGTAATGGTAAATGCATTGAGCTATTATAAAGATCATTCACTAATCCTCAGAATCACACTTCAAAGTAGGCATTATCTCCAGTTTAAGGTGAAGAAACAGGGTGAGTTAACTTGCCACAGTTCTCACAAGAAGTTTAAACTAAAATTAAATTTGTCTAATCCTGACATTCATGGGCTAAGGCTGCACACTGCTTCAACATCTAAGTTAATATGTGAGCTCATTTGATTACTAACTCCCTATGTACTGTGGTTGCATTTTCCGTAATATTTTAATTCTTGGTGCTATTTCAAAATGAAATTTTCTTTTATAAACGGAGGAGAAAAGGTCATCTCTTTTGGTAAGCAGTTACATGCAATTAAGTAAAAACTAATTTACTTCAAACATTCAAATCTTTCCAGTGTGGCATAAAGCAAACGTTGGCAAACTATGGTCTGCAGGCCGAGTCCAGCCCACCTCCTATTTTTGCTCAGTTCACAAACTAAGAATGACACTTAACATTTCTAAATGGTTGAAAAAAATCGAGAGGGAATTTTATGACACATAAAAATTATATGAAATTCAAATTTTAGTGTCCATAAATAAAATTTTATTAGAACACAGCCATGTTCATTCATTTACATATTGACTATGGCTGCTTTCATGCTACAAAGGCAGAGTTGAATTAATTGTGACAGTAACCATATGTGGTGCTTTCATTGTTTTGCACTGCTATTCAACATGCTACAAATCTCAGTGATGGCTATAAAACTCAACAGCATTTCAAGTGTCATACATATTGTCATACAGACATTTTATTTATTACCAGTGTATATACATCATGTCAAAAAAAGTTTTAAAAAGTGGACTTTGAGTGTTGCACTTTTAAGGCACAGTGGAGTGTGAATTGTCGTACAACTATATCGCAAAGCATTGTGTTTATTATGCAATGACACTTTCACTGTGCTAAAAAAATATATTTGCAGACTAAGCACTCATCACAATATTCCCAACCCACAGGAAATCAACAGTTAGAACAATCAGAAAACTTAAAATGTAGTATCTTATCACAGCATAATCTACTAATTTAAAAAATTAGAATAAGGGTGTAACCAAAGTAACTTTCTGAGTGGCTCATTTGTTAGCCAAGCAAAGACAGCTATATACTGATGGTGAGTTAGAGTTAATTCAATTGTGTTTGATTGTAGCAACCAGAGAGTGGGCCCAGAGAAAAACTTCTTCAACAGTACCAGCTTTTCACCAAGAATACTTGCTTGGAGACATGAGGACACTGTGGCAACACCAACAGTCAATTAAAAAACAAGGCAAATGATTTCAAGTAGCTTTGCTTTGCTTTGCTTTTGGTGAGTCAACAGATGTTACCAATACTGCCCAGCTGTATACTTGAGAAGTCAATGCTGAGTTTGAAGTGACTCAAGAACTAGACTTTATGAATAGTCTGCATACAATAACTATAGGAAAGAATATTTCAAAGAAGTCGAGAAAACACCAATTTAGTACAACCTGAAGTAGAATCTGCTAAGATGTGTTGCAATTCATGGTGGTAAAAATGTGTGAAGTGGCAAACAAATGCATAGTTGAATAAATTAGTCAATGGTTACATGCTGCATTATTCATCAGCAGGTATTTGTAGGAAATATTTAAATATATCATGTCATCAAACTAGTAAAGTCAATGGTAAATTTTATTCACTTGTGATCTTAATCATCATTGGTTCCATTTGGTTTTGTCAGAAATAGAAGTTCAGTATTCTGACTTGCCCAATTACATAGCGGTTTGATGGCAGCAGTAAAGTTTTTTGGTTTTGTTTGTTAGACACAGGATCTCACTCTGTCGCCCATGCTAGAGTGCAGCATCATAATCATGGCTCACTGCAGCCTCGACTCCTGGACTCAGGACATCCTCCCACCTCAGCCTCCTGGGTAGCTGGGACTGTGGGTGTATGCCACCATGCCTCACTAATTTTTTTTAGAGATGGGGTTTTGCCATGTTGCCCAGGTTGGAACGGTAGTTTTATTGTAACTTTTTTAGCTCAGAACCAAGACTGAAATTGTTATGAATGAGGAGAACCACCCTCAAACTATTTTCAAACACTGAATAGCTTTGGAAATTACTTTTGCTGCAAACTTAATAATGCTTTTTAATAAATTCAACCTACAATTACAAGGCAAAATGGCACTTATATGTGAAACATACTGTGACAAGGTCATTTTGATGGCAACTAATGATGTTTAAATCACAAGTATTATCAAGCTGGCTTTATATATTTCCCATGCTATCAAGATAAGAAGCAAGATCTCCATTCCCACACAAACCTGTAGTGAACATATTTTCCAAGTTCCACTATTGTTCAAGCTGCACTACTGGACCTTAATGCAAGTGCAAAGGAAATTTTTCTATTTCAATATCATTTAAATATACAATTGAGCATCCACCTAACCTTCAATAGGAAGTGATTAATATGCAATGTAATGACAGCTAAAAGGCAAATAATAGCAGAATCTAATAGAATTCTATAAATACCTTCCAAATGATGAATATGATCAATTAAAATTACACACTCAATCACAACTGATAACAGTACACGGATGTATCTATTTGAGTGAGAAGACTTTTCAAAGATGAAATACAAAAAATCACATTATAGGCCAGCATTAACAAATGAATACTTGCAATTAATTTTGAACCCCAATTTAGTGAGATATTATCCCCTCAAAATCACTCGATTCTTATCATTAGTAGCCCTGTATCACAAAAAAAAATTCAAGTATTAATATATTTTGAATTTTATCAATAAAATATATGCGAAAAGTTTTCTTTCTCATTAAATATATAAAAGCCTCAATTTTGCCTTTTGGCTCACAAAGCTAAACTTTGCCAAAGAAGTTTCCAACCCCTAGTCTGCAGAAGTGCCAGAGCGTCTGTCCATTTAAGTGAAATCAAAGTATAAGTATCCCAATAAACAACTGGTCTAACAAAACCATTTTTATATCCCAGTAATATTACCTGATCATCCTTCTATATATAGTCCTTTCTTTGGTTATGATCCATGTAGTCTTATGAACAAGTAAATGTCCTAAGAAAATAATTTATGTGGGTCTGTATTATAGCTAGGCAGAGAAGAAATTAGTTATCCTGAATATCAGCAAATCTTTATAATTGTATTTGCACTCTAGTAGAAAAAAATGTTCTTAACTCTTCTCAACCAGTTCCATCACCAATGTGTCTCCTCAAGGTCAAACCATGACTCAGGCTCAGCCACTGGGAGAACAATATTCCCTTGTCCATAGTAATTGGCTCAGGGGTGGGCACATCAACCAATAAGGGAATGTCAGTCTTAGGCTTCTGTTGGAGCTATTGAGAAAAATGGCCCTTTGTTTTTTGTTTTGCTGAGAATACTAAGATGGTGGATGGCCACTTTACCATGACACATAGAAAGTCTTCCTGATAGTGAAAACAGCAGGGTAGGAAAGCAAAACCAAAAGATATGGAGAAGATTCCTGTCTTAACTCCAGGATTAAGCATGTCTGAAGGCAGTCCTACCACTCGACTTTTCAGTTAAATGAGATAATGCACACTCTTATTGCTCAAGCCAGGTTAAATTTCTGTCACTTTCAATTCAAAGAGTTCTGACTAATGCAACTATATATTCATTCAGATTGAAATCCCCATCTTAAGTCAAATTTTTCTAAATAGAACCTTTACAGTTATGTGTCATCTCCAGATCTTTCTCCTGCTTCTGAAGGTCTCTGCTGCTTAATGGACACAATATTCACAGGCTGAGAGAGGGCTGCTTTGCCTTATCTTACCTGTAGCATCCCTCAGTAAGTAGCATACCATTAATGCCATTTTGTAAACTCCCGTAAAGCACCTAGCACAATGATAAACTATGAGATACTGTTAGAAATATGGGCTCCCCATCTGCAATGATTTTAAAGTCATTCACTTAAAACTGGAATAATGCTTAATTTCTGTGAACATAATAGTATGATTCCATTCTCAAAGAGGAAAAATCATTCTATTTCCCTTAATTTATCAGAAGATGTATTTAACTATTGCTCTATTAAACAGTTCAGAGAAGTATAATTTTTTTTTTCAATATTAAAGAAAGCTTAGATCCTTTCTAGTGTGTGCTCTTTACCACTGGATTTCAAGAAAGCAAAACAAAACATAAACAAAATAACAAAAGCATATTCCTTTAGCTCTGCTTCTCATATATAACCAACTAAATAAAGCAAAATTTTAAAATTCCTATCTTAAATTAGGGAGTGACATTATTTTACCCATCATTAGAGGAAATGGGAAAGAGCAAGTTTAAAAAAACTACTTTTATTTTTTTTTTTATTTCTTTTTCAGTTACATACTTTTAAACAGGGATGTGTTTCATTATTCAGACATTCAGGCAATGTTGACTTCATTAGTGTTGACAGAAAATAAGCATAAAACTGCAAAACATTGTTGGCTTAACCTGAACATACCTGCATTACCTATTATTGACCAGTTTGTGTTGCCAAAAGACTTATTCCTTGGCATTAAAATGGAGCACTTAAAAATATTGCTAAAAAGCAAATGTCTACACACTGGTCTTTGCAGCAAATAAGGGTATTTATACTTTTAAAATATTTTAAGTCCATAATTGGATTAATATACACACCTTCTTATGTATAAGGAGTTCAGATCATATAAACACTGTACAATCCAAAAAACCCTACTGAGAATAAAACTAAATAGGCTTATGATAAGAAATACAGATATTCGCATGTATTTACAAATATCATAGACACACAAATTTGGTCAAATACTGTAAAGAAAGAAATGGTTTCACATTATAATTGCCAAAACATCCATCTACCTTGCTCAAAGCAAATAAAAATATAAACTCAGTATGTAACTCCTGCAGTTTAAGACATCATGACAGTATACAGATAGATAGAATGGAAACTGTTGACCAAATTATACAGCAAATGTTTTCTAGGTTAAGTGTAGGTCTTTAAAATAAAAAGAGATCATTCACAGGATTCATAGCAACAATGAAAAACAATGTCCTGATTTGTGGTGTTCATGTGGGTGCCTAATTCATCAAAAAAATGCATTAAACTTTTGGCTAATAAGAAAAATAAATTACAAAGTATAATTAAATCCCTGTAAATGCAATAATGAAGTAAAAAAATGTAGATTTACTTTAATATAAATCTTAAATGTTACCTTGAGACAATAAAAATAAATAAGCATGCCTGAAGGCACACACTTAAAGACAACGAAGAGACTGCATGGAAGGAGTAAGTAACAATTTTATAAATGAAAGATGAATATGAGATTTGTTCAAAATAATTATCCTTCTAGCCAGGCTTTGTTTTAACCCTTCTTGAAAATTCTGGCTAGCAGAATGTGAGAAAACTACATGTGTGTCTTTATGGCTTAAAACAAAGCATACTTGAAAAGTGGAATGGGCTTCCTTTTTTACAGAATTAGTTTTTTTTTTTTTTGTTCATATGCAGGCACTTCAAAAGACTATGGAGGCAAAGCACCTGACCCATCCTTTCCAAAATATTTTTCAATCATCAAAATTATGCTAAAGAGTAGGAAAATTCCAGAGAATCAGCAAAGTTGAATACAAGAGACTAATGTGCACAGAGGGCATAGAGTGACCCACTTTTTATTGCTGGGGGTCTTTTTTTTTATCAAAGAGCAAAATAATTACACAGACACCATTGCATGGCACATCCAAAGTTTTCTGCTTGGGGGAGAATGTAATCATTCAGCAGTAAGTTTCAGTGAGATTTCTTTAGGCTTCCACCTTACACATTGCAACAAGGTTCACATTTACTACCTCTCCTTAGTGTATTTCTTTGTAACTCCAACATATATCACTGTTTAAAGTATTCATTTCTTGATGTCTAACATACATTATTATTTGGAAGCATAAAGTTACATTGTACAAATATTTTGCATTTTAAAAAATAAGCGCTTTTGCCACTTCTGCAACACAGTACTTCACATGGTGGTGCAACAAAAGCAGAGCACATATTTACCGCACTACTTAAGATTCATTTTACCACTACCATCTGCGGAACCCATATTGCTTTTTCCTCAGTACCTCTGGGCAGTGACTGTACCATGATTTCACAGAGAGAATGTTAATATGACTTATGAATAACAGTACCATCAGTAACACTGAAATCAATGCAGATGTCACAAAATATGAACTTCTCAAGGAATAACTTCTTTTAAACATTTGGGCAACTCTGTTTTCTCTGTTGTATTATCCACTGAGAAAGAAAATTCCTGTTTGATTATGCCCTTACAGAAGTTATAAAAAACCAGATTAGGTATACAACTGGTTGACACTTAAGATACTGTATGCTTTCTGCAACAGAAGAACTTCTGAAAAATGTTCTATAGAACTATATTCATTGATACCACCTCATTGGTCCATTCCATTCATTGATGGGCAGAGCACTCATGTTTTGACAAAACTTTAAAGCTTCCATAAAAGTTCAATTAGAAAAAAAAAAAAAGAATGTAAGACAACCACAAAATGAAGTATGAAAGTATGACATTTTTGTTTCTAAGAGTGAGTCCTTGAAAATATATGTGGTCACTACAGAGATGATTTTAATCACAAGACAGCAGATGAACATGTAAGTAACTCCCCAGGATCTGTCTGTGTCCAGAGTCATTTGTGGCGCTGTATGGTTTTCCTTTTCCTTCGTTTGAAAAAACAGCAGCACCTGCAGATGAGGGAAACACTCTTTTTAGTTTAAAAGCACTAAAATGTCACAAAGTTGACTGTATCATATTAACTTAAATGATCATAAAAAGCAACAGTCTAGTGCAAGATAAACAGTGATTACACCAATGAAGCGTATGTATTAGTGAAAATATGGCAGAGTTATTACTATTATGTTTCATCCACATGCCTTTTAAGAATAGCAAGACATTCTATGCAACATAAAAAGGAGCCATTAAATTCAAAAGGTTTTTCACTAAGACTAACTGAGAATTTCATTCTATGCATTCTCACCCTTTCTCCCGGATATTTATATGTGATTGTTGAAGCCATAAGGAAGGCAATAATGATCCTAACACTGGGGAGCTTATTCTTACCAATAATCAGTTTAGACTCCAAAAATAAAAAGATACTCCAATATACACTAGTCAACATTTTCCATCATATTAAAAAAGTGAAAAACAGAAAACACATTTTATAGAATGTCAAGACTGGCAATTTTAAATTCTTTAAGAGTTAAAGAAGGTCAAGTTTATTGAAAGTTTAGTTAAGGTAACAACTATGCTTAATATTTAAAGTAGCACAACTGAGGTGATTCCATTGTACAAGTCAAAACTGCATATGCAAAACAATATAATCCTGACTTTTATTTCTAGGTGAAAAAAAATCTTGGCTGGGCACAGTGGCTCATGCCTGTAATCCCAGCACTTTGGGAGGCCAAGGCAGGAGGACTGCTTGAGCTCAGGAGTTTAAGAATTCAAGACTAGCCTGGGCAATACAGCAAGACCCCATCTCTAAATCTCTCTCTCTCTTTAACTATATATACACATACACAAGTATCTCTAAATATATATACACACACACACACATGCTGGACATGGTGGCACCCGCCTGTTGTCCCAGCTCCTTGAGAGGCGGAGGCGGGAGGAATGTTTGAACTATGATTGTGCCACTGAATCCCAGTCTGTGTAACAGAACAAGACCCTGCCTCTAAAAGAAAAAGTTAAAAAAAAAAAAAAAATCTAGATGTAATCCTTAAGAGAACTAGTTTCTCTCACAGTAAATTCTTCTAGTCATGAGGAGATGCAACACATCAAGGCTGCTGTGGGAAAATGCTGTGGTCTGGTATGAAATGAAAAATGAGAATCACTGATCTGCTCCCACCAAAAAAAAAAAAGAAAAAAAATTACATACACACCTATCTTAAAAGCCTCACAGTCTGAGTCAGTCTATTAGAATATACAACATGACAACACTACATATAGTTAGGCACCTTTTCTTTTAACCTTTAAACAGTCAACCCCTTCCTAACATTGAGTTTACTTTTGGCACAGACAAGCATGGTTGGGTATCCCTGATTTCCACTGAAACCCTCTGTGGGTGTGTGGGCATATTTATAAATCACATTTTGTAATAAAAGCAAAGTATATTTATACACATGGTGATTTCATCACCGAGAGCTCCCAATTCAGACTGTGTGTAATATGACCTTATAAAGATGTTTCTATAATTCTTACCAATCTATATTCATAAAAGAATAGCTTTGGCCCGGTGCGGTGGCTCATGCCTGTAATCCCAGCACTTTGGGAGGTCAAGGTGGGTGGATCACAAGGTCAGGAGTTCAAGACCAGCCTGACCAACATGGTGAAACCTTGTCTCTACTAAAAATACAAAAATTAGCTGGGCGTGGTGGTGGGCACCTGTAATCCCAGCTACTCAGGAGGCTGAGGCAGAAGAATCACTTGAACCCAGGAGGTGGAGGTTGCAGTGAGCCAAGATTGCACCATCGCACTCCAGCCTGGACAACAGAGTGAGACTCTGTCTCAAAAAAAAAAAAAAAAAAAAAAAAAAAATAGCTTCAGGTGTCCCATCCAGCAAAAGATTACAGAAAATAACATAACTTCTAGATATGTTTTATATACTTCCGTGAAATAAATGTAAACAGAAATCTACATTGTCCAGTTAAATTACATAATCTCTCTACCCACGTTATCTTTAGTCAAAAATAATTTTAAATTATTTATTGTGATTTCTGCCATAATTATGAAACGACTATGAGGGTACTGAAAACCAAATTACACAACTGCATTTTTTAAGTAAACCAAACAGTACACATCGACTAGACCATGGAATGTAAATAATAAAGATTCAACTAGAAATATATGTAATGATGAATGTTTATCAACTTTACTCTCATGGAGATGACTAGCAGAAAGAACGGAAATGGATTACCCAGTCAAGAGCCTCGAGAAGAGCTGCCACAGTACAAGACTACAGATGTAAGAGATTTGTTCTGGATTTAAAAAAAAAAGTCAAATTTATTTTTACCTGTCAGCTACCTAATATTTCTCAAATCTCAATTACTTTCTAAAAAATAAAATCCTTTACTCCAAATGAACCTTTAAATTTAAGACTTAGAAAAGAGAAGAAAAATGTCCAAATGGCAGAAAGCAAGACATAAAATAGGTATTTAGAAGTGACAGAACAAATACTTAGAATATTAAATTTAAGTATATAGCCATATTTCAATTGAAATTTATTGTTTGATATAAAATTCCTTTAATAATGCTCACTATTCTTAAACACTGTCCTTTCAAATTCCAAATAGATTCTTTCAAAGTTTTCTAAAGTTGTATTAGCCCTTTGAAATGGGTAATTTAATGTAATACAGATTTTGATGAACAAGACCAAGTCCTAGATTTTCTACACTTGTATCAGCAATTTACTTTGCTTAGTTTGTATTTCCAGTACTGAGAGTTCTGAGAGTTGAGATCTTCACACTTAAGTAATCTTTCCTTCAACAGTGTTTTACTGAACTATGACAAGCACTTATTTGAAACTAAATAAGATTTTCAAATAAATTCTAATGGCCCTTAAATTCAAACACAATCTAAAAAGGATATCTATTTTAAATAAATCCCACTAAATAAAGAACACATCCTTGTAACAGATTTGCAAAAGTACAGCTGGCATGCTATTAAAGTTACTACCACCAGAGGACAGCATTGCCTTATGTGATACAAATACATCCAAACACATAGATAAGAGAGAGGTGCAAAAAATATGATATACTTACAGAAGTTAAGAAATAAATTGATGTTTTAACCTTATGGCTTATTTCTTAAGATAAAAGCAATTACCGAAATAGCTAATTTATAGCCTTAGAAATTAAGAAATCAGGTCTCATCTCAATTGCTTCTTCTTCCCCAGCACTTAATCTGAAACAGTGCTGCTCCCATGTAGCCACTTGATCACACTATTGTTTTATTTTTCTGTAATAACTTACTCTTACTTTGAAATTATTTTATTTATTATCTGCCTTTGCACTAGAATTTAAGCTTCATAAAGGACTGCTCAGTTATAGCCCAACAAACTGGCACAAAGTTAGTACTTATTTAATAGTGGTCCTCTCACTTCAGCCTCCTGAGTAGATGGGACTACAGGCACCCAGCTGGCAATTTTTTAAAAATTATTTTTAGCGGAGACAAGATCTCACTATGTTGCCCAGGCTGGTATCAAACTCCTGAGCTCAAGTAATCCTTCCACATCAGCCTCTCAAAATGTGAAGCTACATCTCTACTCTAAAATTATTTGGGAATAAATGTTAAGTCCTAAGATGAACTTTAGAAACAACTTTAGTTTCTTTAAATACTATTAGGCAACAAACAGGCAATCAAAACGGATCAAAGTCCGAAAACACACAAAGGCTTTTGCTATTGACACCGCACCACCATTTCTCCTTTGTTCATTGCCTTTTTCTTCATCTATTTGCCTTTTCTTCCTGGATATATGTCATATACTTTCTTCTCTCAAATCCACCCAGAAACTGAAGCATGTTTTCCTATCTGGATATGATGTTCTTATTTATCCCTTCTAAGATGACTCATTGCTCACCCTTTGGTTGAGAGACTGTTGGTACCTCCTAGACCTACCCACGTAGGACTCCAGGACCTAGCTTCTCCTGACCTGGGTTGATGAGTGTACAGAAAGTATATTTTATGGCATCTAATCTTTAATTATTTCACAAAGAATATTTCCCCTTAAGGTTTAAACCTGAAGTGTAATTTCGTATCTCTGGATCTCTTGATTTACAGAAAAAACAAGGAACCGTTTAGCTAAGCAAAAAGAGTTTAGATCAGAGAACAAGATCATCTACAAAATTACTCCACCCAAAAGCCTGCAGGCCCATTTTCATCTCCAACTTCTTCCTGCCTGTCCACTTGCAATTAGTCCCTTAAGTCTGAAATGACTTTCAAAATTTTCCCATCTTCTCATGTTGGCTTAGTTCAGAACTTTTCAACTTGCCGCCACCACTGCTAAGTGCCTTTTAAAGGACTTCCCAGTCTAAGTCTCTCCTCTCTCCAATCTGTCATCCAAATTGCCCCCATCATAAATAAGGCCATGCCCTTTTCCTCTTAAATCTCATCAATGATTCTACATTGACTAAAGCATTAGGTTCACACAGCTCTTCGGAATTTGGTTCCCAACTTATTTCCACCCTCCTCTTAGTCTCATCCTCCATTAGGCTTCCTTCCCAGGTGGCCTATACTATGGATGGAAGGAAGGGAAAAGTAAGAAGAAGCAAAAAATCTCCTTGCCATTCCCAGAATACGCCAAGTGGGATTTCTTACCTCTGTATCTTTGCATATGCTCTTCTTTCCACTTAAAATCCATTTGCTCTCTCCCAAAAGAGTGACACAGTCTCTGTCACTTTGTATTATAATTTTTATACCTCTCTCTTCCTCACTGAACTGATCTCTTGAGGAAACATATTATTCTTTACTTATCTTTACAGTTCTAGAGACTATCAAACTCCTGAACACTCAGTATTATAGAAACTAAACAAATGGTCCCATACTGTAATCTTAAAACATTTTTTAAGGAACAGTTTGTTTACTAGAGACTACTAACCCAAAATATAAATTCTCCATCTAGTTTCATATGAAAACTTAATTTATATTCTTAAACCATTTTCTGCAATCTGTTGAACCCCAGGAAGTGACATAAGCCTCATAACTGCAGCCAAATTAATTTTCCTAAGGATCAACCTGATCATAGTTTCTTGGCTTAAAACCACATGTCATTTCTTGGCTTCCTTTCTTTTGCTGAGAAAGATAATGTCCAAATTTGTTTACTGGCTACCAAGGCCCTTTGAGATTTGGGAAATTAGCCTATCTCAATTTTCATTAATGTGTTCATATATTCTCTGCCTGCATGAGTTACTCCTTGGACTGGTTCAATTCTTTCCTTGCTCCAACCTCTTCTCCCTGACTCCTTCCACCCATTTCCCTTGCCAAATCATTCTCATCTTTCAGAACTAGTGTAAATGCATCCTTACCCATGAGGACTTCTCTGATCTTCCCAACTAGGAGGACATACTCCATTTTCTGAACTCCAGTAACAATTATCCCTCTCCTACATGATTAGCAATCGTGTAATACTTTGTATTAGACCGATGATCCTTAACACTGGCTGCTCCTTAGAGTCACCTGAGAAGTTTTTTTAAAAATACTGATAACCAAGCCCCACCATAGACCAACTAGTAAAATCAGAAACCTTGAAAATACAGCCCAAATATTAGCACATTTTTAAAACTCCCTAGGTAACTATAATGTGAAATCAAGGTTGAGAACCATTGTATAAAAGTTGTTGGTATACGTTCCATCCAACCTAATGGTATACAAACTTTGACATACCTTAATAATCATCATATTATCAAACACACGATAATCTGTTCAGTAAATGTTGGAAGACGGAAAGAAAGAAAAAGAATAAAAGACGGTTTCATACTACTTAAAAAGTAAATACTTAAACTATTTTGTTCTCCTAAATACCTGGAATGAATGATGAAGGTGCTATCATTTGTATCACCTGTCTTAAAATTCTCAACTACAGTAAACAAGAAAGACAAAACCTCATTACTAATGAAGCTAATTAGCTTTCCCATCATTTTCCATATGGGAGAAAGAGTATTTTCCATCATTTGGAAATCAAATATTTACCCCAATGAGGTACTATTCTCAGGAAACATGAGGATGCTAAAATGTGCATTATAGAATACATTCTACTTAATGGGGTGGGGTGAGAAGGATCTCTGCTAATTATAGGTAAGACGAAAGATGAAAAAGAAATTCTGAAAGAGAATTCTAAGCATGTCCCTAGTTATGTGTCAAATGGTGGCAGAGAGAAGTGTAAGATGCAATTTAGAAAAGGAGCTGGGTATGGTGGTGTGCACCTATAGTCTCACCTACTGGGGAGTCTGAGGCAGGAAAATCACTTGAGCCCAGTAGTTCAAGGCCAGCCTTGGCAATATAGCAAGATTCCTATCTCTTAAAAAAGAAAAAAAATCATGCCCAAATTTCTTAGTCACAGATTAAGAGGAGATGAGGAACACAATAATAAACTTGTAGAAATGTTAGAATAAACCTAAAGAAAAAAATCTTGTTTAAATAGAATGTTTATCCAGCAAAGAGGTAGGAAAGTTCTGAGGATTTCTGTAACCTACCTAACCCACCTGATGTAAGGCTTCACTGATATCATGAGTTGCTATACTTTTTTTAAAACAACCATTTTATTAAGATATTTTTCACGTTATAAAATTTATCCTTTCAAAGTATATAATTCAGTGTGTTTTAGTATTCACAACTGAGCAGCTATCACCACTATCTAATTTCAGAACATTTCTATCACTCTATAAAGATATCCCATCCTCCTCTTCCCTGCCCTGGGCAATCACCAATCTTTTGGTGCCTATATATTTGCCTATTCTGGACATTTCATTTAAATGGATTCACATAACATGTGGCCTTTTGTATCTGGCTTCTTTCATTTAGCACAATGTTTTCAATTTCATTTCTTTATATTGTCAAATGGCAGTCCATTGTATGGGTATACCACATTGTTAATTATTTAGTAATGATTTATTAGGACATACAGCCACTAGGAATCTGAGGATGAAAAAAATCCTTGTTTTCAAGAAATTCAGTAAGTTTCAAGAAGTGGGAAGTATATAAAGAGGATAACATAGCAAAGGCAGATTTAAGGAACCAATGCTATATAAAGTTCAGAATGGAAAACGGAGTTGCAAAGATAGGCAGGGGCCAGACTATGACAGGTACGAGAGGCCTTGATGCCATGCCAAGAAATATGGCAGGCAATGGAGAACGCTTCCTATAGGAACAGCCTTCCCACCACTTCCTTTTTTCACATCCTCCAGTGTCTACAGATAGGGACCCAAACACACACCCACACTCATCCCAACTGCATAAATTACTATGCCATTCTTCAGAGCCACTTTCCATCAAGTATTCTCCGATCATCCATGTCAGCAAGTAATCTTTATCTTTACAACCTCTAACCATTTTTAAAAATACCTTTTTCATCATATTAATCATATACTGACATATACTAGTACAACTGCAATCTTCCTGCTGGCTTGTACTTAAGAACAAGGACAGTATTAGGTATTTCGGAAACCTCAGCAGTCTAACTGCTAAATGAATAAATGGATAAATTTAATAAATTTGATTAAAAGCAAGTCTCCAGGAGGATGTAAACACAGAACCGCTAGTTTCAGTGAAGAGCGTGGGTATGGAAGTAAAAATATAGAACACAGATAAAAGAGGCACAAGCCCAAAAACAGAGATGAGAAATGTCACTGGCAGCTGGAAGAGAAGAAATAAACAGGGGTAATAATAGCTATTGAGTACCTGCCGTGTGCCAGACAAAACACCAGGGCTTTATCACATTTAATTTTCTCAACCTATGAAGTAGGTATTATTAGCTTCATTTTACAGAAAAAGAAACAAGCTTTCTTGAAGGTAACAAATCAGTGGCAGAAACAGGATTCTACAAACTATGTTTAACTGCAAAGGACATGTGCAGTCGAATCTGTCACACCACCACCCTACTTTCCTGTCTTATGATTGTACCTAAAATTCACAAAGATAAGCTGTTGTTTTTATCTCTGATTTAAAAACACACAAGTAAGACTATACTTTCAGGGATTTATTTCTGCGGTTCATAAAAATATACAAGTATACAGCTAATTATATCTTGAAATACACTAGTCTTAGTCACACTGTCAATACATTCTATAGTCAAAAGTGATTAAAATGGATTCTTAATCACTGCTCTTTAAGAAAAAAATCCACGAAAGTTTCCTAATTTTGCAGCCAGCAAATGAGCATTATTTTGAAAATTATATAAGGTGTCTTTGGATATAAGTAAAATATTTCAAAATTTACTAAACTAAGCAACTTCCTTTATTCACTCCCAGTCTGACTCAAAATTTGTCCTGAAACTGACAGAAGCATTTTAAGCACAGTATTACAACTAAAGGCAAATGTCAGAAAATAATTTAAATCCCCAATTATTTCTATTAATACTACTTTCCATAATATCTGCAATTATTAGTAACTATTTAGATGAGGATTTTTAAAATGGCTTTCTCACTACAAGGTTATCATGAAATTTATCAATATTGTATTCAAGGGCAATGATAATTGGTTAGTAAATGAAATACTGTTTTAGTGATACTACTGTGGGGGATGAGATCTGCTACATGTATTTAACAATTGCAAACAGAAAAAAGAAAGCTTAATGCAAAAATCTATCTATTTAAACAGCAAATAAAAACTATTATAAAACAAATGCACAAGCACAAGCAGGGTTGGTGTATCATCTATGCAATTAAAAAGTGGCCCCAAATCTATGTCACTTAAAGTAAAAAAGTTGCAGCAGGCAAAAGAGCTCCTCAAACAATTATTTCTTGCTTTTTCTGAGCTATCTTAATGATATCAAATACTTTTGAATAACTTTTACCAATTATAATTGCTGTGTTGAGAGTTTTGTTTTCAAAATACACAAAATGATGCTAAATATTTGAAATTACAGTCAACGGAGCTATTTCTGCCTGCCTACACTTGAGACTCACCACATGTTCAACACTTTCTGGCAGCTATACACACACAAAAAAAAAATACAAGGAAAAAAAAGAGAGACAGAGAGAGAGAATCAGAAACAGCCCACATTGAAATTATCACATTGTTTTTCATACTTTTTTCCAAGCAATGTTATAATTTATGTTTTGAAAAACCAATTCAAAATATTAAAACATGCATTTTATAAAGTTAATATTTACTCTTATGCTTACAGAAAAAAGACTGATAGTACATCAATAACTTCCATGCATCAACACTCCTAAAACTCAAAAGCTAAAAATAACGCTGTCAATTATAAGAATTTGAACACAGTTCTTAAATATTTTGTATTATTAAAATATTTACTGGAATAGAACTGTTTTAAACTTATTCTAGTGATTAAAATAATTAAGTATACCACTTGTTTTGCATGCACCTATTACCTAAAAAAAATTTCCTGAAATAATTGTATGTAACTATAAATCTCAAACATGCATAATTTAAAAACAGAGAGTTACTAAAACAAGTAAAATAAACACATACTTGGTTTCATCCATCACTTCTACTTCAGTAGGGGCTGTGATGGGTGCATTTGAACGTCCTGCGGTGGGGTCATCTGTGTTTAACTCTCCATTTGTAGAACTTACAACCTGTTTAAAAAAATTTTTTATATATATACATATGTACACACACTCATAAATATACATACATACTAAATAGGTTATACAAGGATAAACATAATTAAGGTTAAAGTATTTCAATTAGAAAGTTAATGTGAAGAACAAAACAATAGGTAGCAACGTGTTCATAACTAAATACAGTAATAGGTCTAGCATTGTATTAAAGATCAAGGTCATCTAATACGTGCTTTTCAACTTACTTCCTTTCCTTTTCGAAATCTCTGTCTTCTGTCTCCTTCCCTCTGGTTTTTAAGGCTAACTCCTACATGTATGTCTCAATCAGTTTCCTCTTGTGTGCCTATGTCCTTTGGCACCTTGCTATATCATGAATTACTTTCCTTGAATATTGAAAAACTTCAATATTACTCCTTCTAATGGACCCTTCACTTCAATCTGCAATTATGCTCAAGTCTCCATTTCAAACCGCCCGTTTAAATAGACAACACCATCATTCACCCAGTTGTTCAAATGTAGGGGTCACTGTGATTCCTCTTCAACTTAAAACCCACATCTAATCCATCAATGGCAGATCCTGTTAAATCCTTCTCTAAACATATCCCATACCTAATCAGTTCTTACCATCTCTGTTAATACAAGGACTCCAGTCCAAGCCACTATGATACCTTATGTGATTAAGAGCAAAAACCTATTATCTAGTCTTCTGCTTTGTCCCCCACTCAAAAGTATTGTCCACACAGCAATCAGGGTGCTCCTTTTAACATGCAAATCACATCACATATAGCTCCCTGCTTAAAACTCTCCAACTGTTGGCTTCCCGTTTCACTTAGAATAAAAAATCTATACTCCTTACACAAATTGACAAAGTCCCACATGATGTGATGCCTGCCTACCTCTCTGATCTCACATCACCTTCTCTGAAGCTCACTAGCCTCCATCCAGTATGTCAAGATTCTTCCCACTTACAGGCCTTGGCATTATCTATTGTCACTGCCTAGAATTCTCTTCCTACTTATTAGCTGACTTCTCATCTTTCAGATTCTCAAAGAGCATCTCTGAGACAGGCCTTTTCTATCACACAGCTAAAAACGTCTATGCTGACACAGTCTTTTATGTTACACCCTATTTTAAATTATCTGTACAGTATTTATCAGTGTTTGTGTTTTTCTTATCCGCTTGCTCATTTATTTGTTGTATTTCTTGACATCCGTCCCTACCTCCATTAAAATTAAGCTCCAGGGCAACAGAGACCTTGTATTGTTTCCTGCTACGCCTGGCACAGAATAGGCACTCAATAAATATTTGTTGAAATAAACGAATGCATGTACGCATGAATGAAATCCTGAAACAAGATAAAAATCATGCGGAAATTCCCAAATTCTCCCAAATTCTCTTGTTACCGCAAATTCACCTTATTGTCCCATTTCTTCCTTTTCCCTCATCACTAAACTTTTTGGAAAAAAAGTATATAACTCACCACTTCCATTTTTATAAAATTTTCCATGTGTTTATTCCTTTACTCCTTGCAATCAGTTCTCCAACCCTACATAAGAACCCTAATAAGAGTTATCTTAAAGGTTACCAAAGATTCCTAGAAAATGTACTCAGGATACTCTGCTCAGTGCCTCATTTTCTTGTACATCACATCAACTCACTTGGCAATCGCTGAAAATTCTGAAGTAAGTTGGGTCTAGACTCAAAGCCTAGCTCTACCACTTACCAGCTATGAGACTCTGGGAAAGATACCTTACCTTGCTAAACCTTAGTGTTCTCAAGTATGAAATGGTGAACAGTAGCATCTAATTAACAAAGCTGACACGAGGGTGAGATGAGATCAATATATAAATGTCAACATACAAAGCACAGTGCCTGGCATATGGGAAGAGCTCAATAAATGGTCGCCATCATTATCACTATGTTTCATCTATAATCATGGCTTCAACTATCACCTCTAGGTAAAGGACTCCCTAGGCCTAACGACTCACCCATATCCTCAGTTTGCTAAGCCAAGTTTGGCACCTCAAACTCTGCATTTCTGAAGGAAAATTTATCCTACTCCCTCTGAAATGTATTGCTCTTCCCATGGCTCCCATTTCAGTTAAAGCCCTCCCATCTTCTAGACTTCCAGACTCAAAAATCTAAGAATTCTCTTTGATGCCCCTCCTACTCACTACCTAATCTCTTTAAATGAAATAAAAGGTTAGCAACACTGGCATGGGCTACAGAGTTGACAACTGACTATTAGACTTAAAAGTAGTATTTATAGTACATTATATTTTTAAAACTTAATTAAGTTCTTACTTTAGTCTACAACATGCTAGGCACTGTTCTAGGTATTTGGAATATCAAAGTAAGCAAGATAAACATCCCTGTCCTTGTAGACCTGACACTTTAGTGTAGAGAAACAAGACCCTCTCCATTTCCAAGGAAAGTATTAATAACTACAAATCAACCAATATATTTGAGTTAACTTAGGAATAGTAGAAATTCAGTTTCCTATATCCTATATGGAGTAAGTACTTAGAAATGAACACTGCATTTGTGCCTACAGCTGAAAACACACAAAACTGCCGTGATAATCTTCAAAGGCAATCTACAGAAAAGAATACTCTTACATCTAAGCATGCCTCTCCTTTTCTGGGGTACTTGCTTCCTCCTTTCTGTCATTCTATTGAGTTGTAAATTTTTTCTCTTTATTTCTCTCTCTCTGAAAACATTTAAAAATAATTATCTGTTCTAATTATTGAACATAATTTGGTTCTTTATTCTTAATTTTGAAAATGTCAGAGCCTCTGCACTAAATTGGAAAGGAGATAGAAAGCAGTATTCTTATCTCACATATTCTCCACTACCTTGAACAGAGTACATGTATCCAGTACATAATCAAACAGTTCACTGAACAATTTCCACTGCTCTTTTCTCAACATACTATTCAACAGGTTTCTTAGTCTCCCTTTTGTTCAATGGCCCTAGAAAGGTAGAGGGATGCCACCTCAACTTACAGGCAGCTCCTCTGACACGTCTTCCCTTATTTTAAGCAACATAACTGAAAATTTTAAAACCCAGGTAGTCTAAATTCTAGCAACATTAATTACAACACATTTTCTAGCAACAGTGACTATATATACACTGCAATTATATAATCTGATTTACTTCAGTTCACAGAGGAAGACTTTTTATACCTGACTTTGGTAAACTTTATTTTATTGAAATGTTTCAAATCCCATTTTACCTGGTTGACCAGAACCAGACCAGAAAGAAGCAACATCTTCCTTTAATGTAAATATTCCAGGGTTTCCCAGATTCCCCAATCCTCTGAGTAGAGACTAGTATCCCAAGCTCAGAATAGAATCACTGTGGTAACGGAGTTAAGATAGGATATTGTTGTTGACCTTCATAAAACTGGCCTATTTAACACCAGTGACTTGAGACTGTATCATGGCATTAAAAGTATTTTCACTTAAAATTTGTGCCTTTTTGCAAAAGGGTTTTACAAAGAAGTAATGAAGATATAATACTGTAAATAATATATCATTATATTCCTGGAAGGCTAAAACAATCAAATATGTACAAATTTTTTTATAAGCCAAATTCTAAAGAACAATTCTATTTAAGTGACATTTCTAGAATTATAACTTGAACTAGAAGATGAGTCTCTGAAATACTAGTGTACATCAGGCTGATTTCTTAAAAGTATATAAAAATGGCAGATATTCTGAGGTTTGACATTTCAAAAAATAATTCAGGCATTATACAGGATTGTTGTTGTTCTTAAAAAAAAATTTCCTCTGACATTCCCAATTTGACAAGAAACTTACTACGGTTCTTATTTTAAGAAGATTAAAAAAAAAAAAGGCAACTAGACTCCAGTTTTACTGTCAGAATTTAAGAGGGATATTGGAGAAAGAGCTCACAAGCAAGTCTGAGACATAATCATAAACTTAACAGATGCCTGACAAATCCAATTCCAAAAGATGTTATTCTTATAGACTTTATAGAGTACAGACATAACACGTAGTATCTTTATTGTCAATGATTTTTAAAAGCCAATTAATGTACTTTCCAAATATAATGAATTCATACACATTAGTTATACTACTGTCTTCCTAATTGCCTTTTTTTTTTTTTTTTTTTTTGAGATGGCGTCTCATTCTGTCACCCAGGCTGAAGTGCAGTGGCACAATCTTGGCTCATTGCAACCTCCGCCTCCCGGGTTCAAGCGATTCGTCTACCTCAGCCTCCCAAGTAGCTGGGATTACAGGTGTGCACCACCATGCCCGGCTAATTTTTGTATTTTTAGTAGAAATGGGGTTTCATCATGTTGGCCAGGCTGATCTTGAACTCCTGACCTCAAGTGATCACCTGCCTCAGCCTCCCAAAGTGCTGGGATTACAGGCATAAGCCACCACGCCCCGCCTGTCTTCCTATTTGATATCCTGTAAGCAAGATTACCAAGTAGAGCCTTGATACAATGTATGAATTTACCAAATATATTAATTAGCCAAATTCTCATCTATCCAATCATCTATTAGAAATTCTAAAACATATTTATGTATTCAGCTTTTTTAAAAGGCATCTATAAGAAAGCACACTAATGAGATATATTAATAGTTAAAAGAGTGACTTCAAATAATTTCCTGAACCTGTGTTACAGTATACATATACTATATGAAACCAACTTCTTTACATATCCTAAAGACTAAAGGCATAATTGGTATTCTTGGTATTGCAAAAGATGACCCTAAAGCACAGTGACATGCTCACAAACTTTCAACAAAGATAAGCCAAAATGGATTTTCAGTTAACTCCCACTCAGGATAATTATTTTCCTTGATCATCCCAGTCTTCAGAGATGTTACTGTAAATGTTAATGCAAAAAAAAAAAAAAAAAAAAATCATAATACTGATTTACCCCAATGACAATAGATAAGGAATTTCCTAAACTAGATCAAAGGAGATGAACTACAATTTATGTAATAAAGGCATATAACTATACTCCTTCCACAACCTCTTTTGCAGATTTCAGTACCCCAGAAAACTATGAATAGAAAGATGTGATTGTAATAGTCACTAGATTTTGTTCCTTGTTAATAACTGCATTTTCAAATATTTTATAGACTAAAACTAGTATTAGAAATGTTTTATAAAGGTCAGTATTCACAATTAATGTAATTGAGATAATGGTATCTACTATTCCTCTTGACTTTTAATCACGTATGTTTTATTATCATCTCAAGATACATTTGCCTAATCCTTTTCCGTTATCACCAGCTGTATTTTTATTTGTTCTGATGCTTTATCGGCTGAAAGATCAGACTGCTTATTACAACAATGAATGTTATTCTTTCGTTTTCCTCAACAATGCCTGGTTGCACAACATATATGCACCATTTGTAATTCTGCCCCTTTTTCTCCCAAGGGCTCAGAGTCACACTATTCGTTAGATTCAAACCAAAGACTGTACAACTATAAGAGATTTCCAAACAATCAGGAGGTATTCATAGTACATGTACATAGTACAAGCATGTAAACAATTTTTCAGCAGTGTCCTTAATATTTGTCTTTTTACCTTTGCTTACAGTTGCCTCTATACAGGATCAGATTTTCAGTTGGCACTGAGCTCAATGGATTTGTGCTACAGTGAAAAGCACAGCTAAAATGGAATTAGAGATTACTACTATCTGTTGTCAGTGGTATATTTTAAAACCTAATTTTGGGGATCTTGATTTGCCATGTAGAAACACATCAAAAAGGGGTAACAACGGAACTTTTCCTCAGGCCCATACCCAACTAAACTCAACCTTCTAATTCTTTTCAAAGTCTTTCATTTCTTGTTATCCCCACTACTCAATATTTTTCCTCAACTACAGACTTTTGACAGCTGTATCCCTTATTTAGACTTGTCTCCTTTCAATCTAGTCTCCAGCAAAAGCAATCTTTAGAAAACACTAATCAAACTTGGTCTCCCAATCCCCTTATGGCTACCCATTATCCTCAGAATAAAGCCAAATTTAGTAACAAGACCCGGTAGATGCTTTGTGATTTACCTCCAGCATACCTTCTCAGTCTCATTTCTCAACACACACCAGCTTAACTAAATCAGCTTCTCAATATGTCTCTCTCGCCACAACCTTATTCATACTGTCTTCACTGCCTGGTATACTCCTCTCTTGACCCCTTCTATCTTCTTCAGTTGATTAACTCCCACTGATTCTTTATGTCTCAGTTTAGATGTCACTTTCCCCAGAAAGTCTTGACTTATCCAGGTTAGGTGCTTTTCCTATCAATTCTCCTAGTACCCTGTGCTATCTCCACGTATCACCCTGCGTGTTCATCAGCCTTCTCCACTGACTTCTTTATGGACACAGGCACCATGTCTTTATACACTTCTTTTCATTCAAAAAAACCTAGAAGAGCCTAGCATATAACGAACACTTAGCTATTTGCTGAGTAATGAATGGCCAAGACACTGAATGTGGTTAAGTCTGAGTTTCTCAGCCATATTTATTATTACCAGTGATTCTAAGAGAGAACCAAGAGGGGCACACTTGATTCCCCTAGGGGTTTTCCAGAACACAGGCTGATACAAAATAAAGTTTTTAGATATTTGAATATTATTCTTATTCTCGTGAATGGAAAAAGTTTATCGAATGTACAGCTGTATCTTTTTAGCTACTGACTTAATATGATTGAACTAAAGAGATAAAATTAGAAAAATCCCATTCATCAATGCTTTCTTTTGACTATACCTCTAATACTTCACTTCCCAGAGATCAATAAAATAAAACTACTACTCAAGTTTCTTAATTTGCAAAAACAACAGATTCTACTTATCTAACATTTCCTAAGCCTCAAGCTCTATGCTAATTACTCTTTAAAATTTTCACAACAAAACCATAAGGTAGAGGAATTGTTAAAATCCTCATTTACTAATAAATAAACTTGGCACAGAATTTGAACTCAAATCTGACTGCAGAGCTTGGGATCTTAACTGCAACATCATCAACTTGGTAACTCTATGTCTGGTCTGCTATACAGTAATTCTGGAAAGGTGGGGAGTTCAAATGTAGACTCTGCTGGTAATTTCCACTAAAAGTACATGTGAAATAAATATCTGAGGATCTTTCCATAGGTCAAAAATGGCAAGAGATTTCATCTTATATGTCAACTCTAAACAGCTTGGAATGATTTTCAGTGCTGCACTGACAGCAAAGATCAGTTCCAAGGAAAAGACTGCACTGATGAGGAGTGAAAGCCATAGTTTTACCAAGTCATTTTAAGTAACTGTTGATTCTGTTTCTGGATATCTTAAATCTGTATCACATTTCAACACCAGACAGCTACCTATAATGATGGAAATGTCTTTCCTAAAATATCTATCTGATGATATACTCTTAGTATGTTTGTTATGAATAATTGCCATATAAAGTCTTTGCCTCTCCTACAAAGCCAATGCTTGAAAGTTTGTTCAACAGGTGATTTAATGATCATTGCACAAAGAAGCCCAAGGCAAATTCTTCTCATACTTTTGTATTACTAAAAAGTTTTTTTCTCTATTTCTCCTCCATCAGACAACGAGAGGAATATTAATAGAACATATTGTTTCCCTTTCTGCCTTCATTTAGAATCAAACATAGTATTCAATTATAATAATATTAGTTCAAATTTCAGGTACTTTTCTTTGGTCTTATTATGTTTTAATTTATAATTTCATTAGTCCAATTACACAAGGGTCATACCATAAATTTTCAAATAATTTTGAAGTGTACAGGACATAAATTATAAATGAATTCAGTCTTTATTTTGGAGTGGGAAGGATTCAGGCATGATCCTACTTAGGCTGTCATATTAGTCCATCATATCATGTGTCAGTTAATATTATAAAATACATGAAGTCAATGAAAATACTATTCTTTGTTTTACCTATGTATTTATGTATTACTAGAAATCTATTAAGTTGATCACTTATTGAATATTAGGATGAAGTCCAATGTAGTCTCAGTAGGCTGAAAACTCTTAGAAATAATGAGAAATGAGCAATGTTCAAACACCTCTGTGAAAACATGTGAAACAATAAACATGAAGTAGTGAAATAATGAGTGAATAATGAAATTCATTGACCCTTTGAGCCACCTCAGGGAATCACATACGAGTAAGAAGAGGCTAAGAAAATAAATCTGGTAATGGTACAGAAATGGTAGGACAATTTTCTAATAGTGCCTTAATTGTTGCACTGAGCAAAACACTTGCACACATACACACAAACTTAAAAACATATGAACATATATAGATATGTACAAAATATAGTTTGTGTTATGCAAATAGAATATAATTTGCTTGGTTAGCTTTTCTAACTATATGAATTGAGGTCATAAAAATTTTTACAATTTAGATACCCTTACCTCTAAGTCCTTCACCCTAGACTTTTATAGATCTACTCAAATAAGTCTACCACACATTACTGAAAATTCCATAAACTACAAAAGTCTACAAAAGTACTTGATTATATAATTTAAATTACCTCTAAAATTTAATGGTGAGAAAGACTTGAGAGCTCATAAGATTTAATTTTTAGAATTCAAATCAAGAAAGAATAGAATCCAGAGTACAGAATCAGTTGATTAAATATATACATTAAGAAAAATGCAAATTTGATAAAATTGCAAATTATTCAGGTGAAAATATGTAAAGAAAAAATAAAAATATAAAAAAAATTCTAAATAGAAATGTACTGAGATAACATTTGTTATCTCACTTACTTTAAGCTTTTAGATTACCTAAAACTAACGTTTTAAAAGACAATACGAGACGCAGCAATCTTTCCCTATTTCTACAATATACATAAATGATTAAAATTTACGGGGCAATGGAGGGCTGAGTACATATAAGTAGCTGTCTCTAAGTGTATAAAAAAGGTGAAAAGAAATCATAAATAAGGGAGTGCTTTAAATTTATCTAAAAAGGCACACAATTTATTGACGGGAGTATTAAACATTTGTCATCAAAATTTCCATCTCATATTTTTTATAAGTACAAACAAAACATGCTATTATAAAAATTAGGGTCATGTTTATTTGAACAATTAATCAGAAAGTATATTCTGAGTACTAAGGATGAAAAAAGATATTTAACTGATTAAGTTTAAAGGAGGCAAAGTCAATGAATGGGAAAAAATACAAAAATGTTCCATTAATTAAAGCATTAAAAAGACTGATCTTATTACTGGAAAGTCAAGTTTAATACCTATTTCAAGCATAATACTGTTTGTTTTTCTAATCTCCTGTATGACTTAAATACTGTTGCATATAGTTGCAAAAATGAATAAAGGAAAAATCTTGGTATTCCTGATGGTCTTTCTAGACCACGTTAATTTTGGCTTTTCTGGTTAAATAACAAAGGAATAGAATTATGGCTAGAGAAGTTCAGCAACAAATTTTCCATTAAGATATGAAATCATGCCATGAGTTCCAAAAAAAAGGGTTAGTTGTATAAATCTGGGTAATAATCACTCATGCAAAAATCAGAAAATACCTGTACCGAGCCACCATGTCTGTCTGCTGCAAGGTGAGCTCTCAAATGGTGGGGATTTGCCTGCTGGGAGTCCCAAGCTGCCCTGTGGTCTGCCGACTGCCATTTATTAAATGCATATGGCATGCATGGAAGAAGAAAAACCCAATATGTTAAACATCTTATCCTCATAATATATAAAACAAATGTATAAAAGGAAATTTAAAATACCCTTACTATTCTGAATCACGGTGCAGTTATCTTTGTATACAGAATGTGGAGTGATTTTAGCTAAGTTGTCAAATTGTGTAATGATCAACAATAAAAATAAAATAGAACCATAAAATTTTAGAAGTAAAAATACCTTAGAAATCACAGACTCTACCCTCTGGCTTTATAAATGAACTAACAAAGAACCAAAAAGGTAAAAATGCCATGACCAAGACAGAACTCCAAATAAATCATGGGCACGCTAGAAGCCCACCCACTATATTTTTACACAGTAGAGGTCATCACTGGTTTTCTGATGAGGAGCTATTTCTAGCAAGGTACAAATGATAGCCCTTAAATAACTGTACCTGAGATTCTAAAAATATTTTCTCTCTTGCTTAGTCCCCCATTTCTGATTGTGAGAATAATATGAGAAAACAGAAAAGTTCTTTGAAAAGGGAGAAGCACTATACAGAATACTATCAGAATATGACAAAACAAACATTTTTTTTTCTAAGTGATAATCCTATACATATGAATCTCTTTGCTTCCTTGATCTCCTTTTATCTGGTTCAAATTAAGGAATCCATATCTATGAAATAATCTGAAAACTCTTGATGTTTTTAGATCCCTTGGCAAATCTGCATGGCAATAACAAACCAGTAAAATTCATAATCTACCAGTAAAATTAAGACTAGTTTCTTAATAGGGGTCAACTTCTGTTTCAGGAAAATGTGGACAACACTAATAAAAAGTAGGGAGAAGAATATACTACTTAAGCTTTATTACATGTGTGGTTCTGAATTAGCTGCTTTATATTTTATCGTATTTTGAGGTAAATATTATCATCCCCTTTTACTGATGAAGACAGTGAGACATTAAGCACTTCCCTACAGTCACAGACCTAGCAAGGAGTACAAGAGGAATTCCAACTCAGAGCCTAATGCTCTTCCAGTAATACTACCCAGCTCCTTACCAAAATTAAATACATTCTAAAGCCTTCAGTACTCTTTTCTTTCTTTCTTTTTCAAACAAAGTCATGAAAATCTTGCCACAAAGTGCCAAGCATATTGGAGTATAGGGACCCTCCAGCATATTGTTGGCCAGAGCAACCTTAAGGGGAGAGATGTAAAATTCAAGTAGACACATGAATAAATGTTCTGGCACTAAGCTTCCTAAATTGTACACTGCAAAATTACATACTCTGTGGCATAAAGTATGTCATTAAAACAATGATAGTTCTATAATGTCTTTTCATTAAACCCTCCAAATTCATAACCAGAATTAAGCAGATTTGTAGCTTAAGTTAAAATCAATCAGATGAAGTCAAGTCTAGAAAAGATTAAAGAATAAAAATGATGCTAAAATTGAGACAAATATCTAGGGCAATCAGCAATATTTTGGGGTCGTGGAACTCTCTAAGAATATAGTAAGAGCTACACATTCTCTCCTGAAAATAATTACAGGTACCCCACAATTTCAGGATCCCCTCAACTTAAATTTATCATTTGTCTAGGGGAATTACGAGGTTTAAGTCATTTGAAATAATCTTTCTTCCTCTGGGATTGTGAACTGTGGGTTTCTCGTAGAACTTAAGCTGCTTAGTGGTCTAGAGATATTTAAGAAGAGTTATTTTTAGATATACAACTTTTCTATCATGATGAAAATCTGTATATTCACATCCCAAATTCAATATATAAGGCTATCCTAAAGAATTGCCTACAAATTATATATACACATATATATACATATATACATACATATACATATATACACATACATATACATATATACACACACACACACATATATACACCCTACATTTAGTGCAACAAAAACTGGACAAATGAAACATGGTTCCCACTCTCAGTGAGCTTACAATCTAGTTAGCAAGACATGTCTGAAACATGTAGAAAACTAAAAGTCTAAAATATTAGATTTGTAATTTAATTCAACAATAGAGGAATTTCACTTATTATAATACCTAACAGCTCAAGTAGAGAATTTCTAGGAATACCATATTAATCTTCTTCCAAGTACATTCAAGGAATTAACTCTGGTTTATAAAACACATACTAAGTCTCAACTTCTGAGCCATTTCTTTCTTTATACAGAATCTTTTCACAGCACTCCAGCTGTCAACTAATTTTAATTTATATATGAAGTAATTTATGTATGAGATGCTTTATAGTACCAATTTTTCTAAGTCAAAAATGTAATATTAATCTTTTAAAATTGGCCATGATTTACAGCATAATATTGTTAAACACTCCCTAAAATGTAGCATTTTATTTTGCTATGATTTTTAACAAGTGGTGTTCTTTCTTTTGATTTTCATCCTGTTTTTATCTTTAATCTTCAATTAAACTTTGATGGGATAAACAATATAAAAGTAAAAAAGGATGGCACGCTATCCTTCTCCAGAAAGGATTGTAACAGAAAATTTCTAGCCACTCCTTAACTCAGCGTGATAGCAAAATTTTTAAGTCAAAGATGTCTTCAATAAAACTTTCTTACCAAAAAAAAAGAGAAAGAGAGAGAGAGAGAGAGAAATTAAAACACTGCCCAAAATTTCAACAGCTTTCCATTCCTTTACCTGGCCAGGAAACATGAACTCTCTACTTGATCAACTTCTATGCCTTATCTCAGACTGACTCTCTACTCCCTCTCTAATCCATCTCTACCTACTCTCTGCTCCAAACAAATTGAACCGCTTGCTATTCCTCAAATTCTCTATTTTTAAACTTCTGCTTCATATTTTATATTATTCACTCTCCCCAAAATGCCCTTATTTCTTCATTTCCCTTTAAAAATTCCATTCATTCTCTGGGTTTGTGTCAAAAGTTACCTTTTCCATAAAATCTTCATAGAGCCCCACATATGATCTCCTCCATGGCACTTTATTAGTGCTTTGTATAATATAACTTATTCTCTTTTTAAATATAGTTATTTCTGTATTTATTATAATAATAACAGTAACAGCAGACACAGAGTTTTGATTGAATGAAAGCTTACTGTATGCTTTAAATTAACACGTATTATTTCCATTTTATAGATGAGGAAACTGAGGCTTTGAGAGATTAACTTATTTGCCCAGGGTCAAACCATATCCATGTATGCCTGATTCTAGAGAACTCAGTGAGCTCGTAGCTACAATACTGCTTTTAGTCACTGGTGACAAAATCATTCTTAAAGGTTATACATTCTTCTTTACTTCTGAATTTCTATAATGTGTAGAATAGTAGCTTTACAATAGCAGAAATTCAATAAATAATTTACTGAACTAAACTACAGTTAGAAAGATCAAGTGCTATTACAATTCATTCCAATAGGGTATCCAAATACTCCCATTCTAACAGAATATCAAATGTTGCTCAGTTTACACTAATTTGTACCATTAATTAGGGATTTATGATTAAACATTTTAATGCTATTATTAAACTAATAAACAGTGAAAATTAAGAGAAAATAGTTTATCTATTAAAAATATGTATTTTCAATCCTTCAGTATGTTTTATCTATTGAAGAAAAAAGTGTATGTTTCAATCATGAAAGGAAGATATTTCATATCTAAAGGGCAGCAAACCTGGTTTTTGGATTGTTGCATCTTATCTCTGTGTTGATGTGCTTCTCTGTTTGATGACAGAGCAGGATCTTGCTGAACTGCACCCACTGGAGTAGGCTACAATACAATAACAATTGGTATCAATACATTCTATTTCAGAAATCTTATTTAAAATCATTTATTTATCTGCTTAAAAGAATTAAGGAAAAAACAAAAGACTGTTAAATAAACTAAGGCTTTAAGTAAAGGCATCATTCTCAAAATAGGTTGTTAAAGCTAAGAAGATAAAGCAAAGAGAATATACCTAGTTTTTAAAGTGTTTTTAAAATATTTAAATTCTTTATAAAGTACTTATTTTTACATCTACAAAAGATCTTCTAATGCTGCCATCACTTTTAGGTTACATTTTCATATCAAAATGATAAAAATGTGTATGTTTATGCCTCTCATTTCCAAAGCAAATGTATAAATAGAATAAATTTTCAAGAAAATTAGAAGAATTTTTAAAAACTATTAAAATTGCTTATTTCCAATATTTTGACTTGAAGAGACTTATACAAATTTTAATTTTCATCAAGGTATTAAAGTATTAAATTAATCATGAGAATATTACACAAAAAGTTATTAAGAACTAAATCAGGACGGAAGTTAAAAGTAACTCTTCATGCTAAAATGCAAAGAATCCAGATGTAGGGCTTTTGAGAAACTCAAAGAATACTAGTACGGCGCTACCTGCAGAAACGTTCTTTAAAAAACAATAAAATGAATCCTTTAAAACAACTATTTGTTCTCCACTCTTTTCAACTGAAGATACTGTACTATTAAAAAGACAACAGATACTATAAATAATATTTTATTACGTAGAATACTCACCAACTGTTTACCAATCCAGTCATATTCATAATCAAACATATATCCTTTTCGATCAAACAAGTCAGTAAAAAGCTTTCTTAAGTAGTCATAGTCTGGTTTTTCAAAAAAATCTAGCCTTCTTACATAACGAAGATATGTTGCCATTTCTTCTAGAAATAATATAAAAATTATTTGGACTATTCTTTTCTTTAATACTCAATAATAAAATTAAGTATCTAAAAGCACATTGTATTATATAAAAACACTTGAAAAGTAACAAAATTATATTTCAATTTAAATTTTTCTAAGTTAAATTACAACAAAATAAAAAAAGAGGAAAAGAAGGAAGGGTATATAGACACAAGAAAAATGAGAGGTTTAGTTTAACAACCACTATTTTTGCTTCATTTCATTAGGAAAAGCTAAAATTTTTATTTTTATAAGATTATTTTTAATATTTGGCAGTATGAGAAGTTGAATAAGCAGTTTAATAATGCATGATTAATCACAAAGCATCATATTCAGTTTACAAATTTAAAATTTTTTTTAAAATACTGGTGAGAACTGATTTATATGAAAGCGTCTGTATTGGCCTGCTGGATTTCCTTTAAAATCAGTGACATATACCAACTAACTAACAGAGAATTCAAATTCCTAACCTTGGTTTTGAGCAGTATTCTAACCAATCAAGCTAACAAAGGAAAGCTAAAACAAATCTCAAAAACATAACACAAGAGCACAGTGTAAGTCTTCTCTTAATTTCCAGTCAGATATTTAACAATTATTTGGCAATATACAAATCTCTGCATGCTATTGTAATTCCCAAATGTATTAGATATAAGTATTTTTAAGGGTAATACTTTTCAGAAGGAAAAGAAAAACAAAACAAAAAAAAAATATATATATATATAAAATAGGCAAAATGGTGAGCAATTAGTAAAGCAGGGCATTTCACCATCACGACAGGGCACAGAAAATCACTACAGTAAGAGATGGTAAGTTACACCTAGCATTCACAGGCAGCCCCAGACAGTAGGAAAAAGATCACACCCAGCACAATGAGGCAATAAAAGTGGTATGCAGTGGCCTTCTTTATGTAGTGACTCTCCCACTATTCCACTTTCTAGCTAAATACCTGGCCAATTTAATTTGGCAACCCCATTTTCCCACTTTTATATAGGCTTCCTTAATGACAACTATCCTATCTGCCTACACCTAAACTGCTAGTACTATTAACCGATATTTTAAAAAATCTACTTCTAGATATTACAGCAAGAAAGGAAAATATATAAAGTTTGCTGTCAATGAATAATATAAACAAGCTTGAGAAAGAGCTACTTTCGTTATGTTGATGATAATATCATTATTACATTAATAATGCCAGCATTATACAGGAGAACCAGGGAATACTAAAGTGAGATAGGAATTCAGTATTTTATCTTCAAATTTAGTTCTCTTTTCACTTAATGTGGCTGCACAAATAAATCACAGTCATTATTTTAATATACTAACAAGTTATTCTTATTCCTTAATTGATTTAGAAACCTTAAGTAAATTTTTGTTGCCTTAATTTGAGTTGCCATAAATCTACTTGAAAGCAAAATTATTTTCATAAATGCATACAGCTCCCCAATAAAAAATTAGCACAAGGCCGGGTGCGGTGGCTCAAGCCTGTAATCCCAGCACTTTGGGAGGCCGAGACGGGCGGATCACGAGGTCAGGAGATCGAGACCATCCTGGCTAACACGGTGAAACCCCGTCTTTACTAAAAAATACAAAAAAAAAAAAAAAAAAAAAACCCCAGCCGGGCGAGGTGGCGGGCGCCTGTAGTCCCAGCTACTCGGGTGGCTGAGACAGGAGAATGGCGTAAACCTGGGAGGTGGAGCTTGCAGTGAGGTGAGATCCGGCCACTGCACTCCAGTCTGGGCGATAGAGCGAGACTCCGTCTCAAAAAAAAAAAAAAAAAAATTAGCACAAAACTAGTGAGGTCAGTAAGGTTTTACTGGCCTTACTTAATTTAAGTAAGTTTAATTTGAAAACTAAACCAAATCATACTTCATATACCTCCTTTGAGCTTGACATTGAGACCCAAATGACTAACACTGTATACCAAAACTTTGTAACTGGAATTTCTTAGCAAAAATTTTAACTTATTAAAAGTATATCACTAAAGAAAATATTACTTCAGCTGGTACTGATCAACACTATTAACAGATAGGATTTTCTTCTATTAATACCATTTGCAAAGCAAAGGTAAAAGTGTTCCTGTGGGTTCGGCATCAAATGCTGACATCCTTTAAATCATATTTTTAGCTCTTTTTTTTTTTAAGGCATAGAAAAAAAATTTATAAACTTAAGCAATAAAAATTAGCATTTCTTGTTTTCTGTATATAATGCATCAACCTCACATTATTCATTACCTGGAAAATTTTCACATAATACTTCTATTGGTGTAGCCCGTTTTGTATCTCCAATTTTCTGATACCTCTCTTTTAATGTGTCAGCCTAAAACAGAAAAAAAAAAATCCTGAGACTGTGGTAATTTAAAAATTATTTAGCTGGGGTAGCCTGTAATCCCAGAGCTTTGGAAGGCCAAGGCAGAAGGAATGATTGAGCCCAGGAGTTTGAGACCAGCCTGGGCAACACAATGAGCCCTGATGCCTACTTACAAAATAAAATGTTAAAATATGAAAATTGTTTACTTGGAAGAGAGGACCTTAATATCTTCATATTTCATGAAATTCAATAAAGAAACACAAAAACAATTACCTTTAAGCCTTGCCAAGGAAGACTGCCTCTCAGAAAGTACATGAACATATGACCTAAAGCTTCTAAATCATCTCTTCTACTTTGTTCTGAAATACAAAAGAAATATAAATTTCACTTTTCTCTAACAGTTAAGGATGGAAGAATGGAGAGTTTGTTCTTTCATTATGTATAAATTAATTTTCAAAAGTTCAACATATAAATACAAAATACAGATATAGTACCTATAAGTGATAAATTATATCTATATAATGTTTTTACATTAAGATTATTGTGCATCTTTAAAATATTCCTTTATAATTTTTAGATGCTGTTAGAGATTTATTTTTCTGCTTAGATATCTATTCATGGAAGTACAGGTCAAGGGGAAAAGAGTTCCATGGTTAATCAGAGTCACTATATACTATAGCTCTGTCTTAAAGATTCAGAAGGTAACATATTAAAACTTCTGAGAAGTCTAGAGTTTAAAATGTTTAACTTTTTCAACCCTGCATTTCCTAAAGTTATATGAGCACAAAACTTCCATGATAAATATTCTCCATTAAATTAAACATGATTATGGGGTATTGTGTTTAATATATTTTAAGAAAAACTTGTGTTTGACACATACCAACCTTAATAACCCCTTCACTATCACCAAAAATACTGCTTGACCAACTGTCATTTTCAAGTTGTTGTAACAAAATGTCATTTAGCATATACGTGAATAAAGATCACAGACAAAGGCTCAGGGAGATGCTTATAAATATTTGTTGACTGAATGATATTTCAATTTTTCTGTCACTGACGTTAAATACTTAAGATTTCTCAATATTTTAAAATAATACCAAAATGCTAACTATCAATGAGAAAATACTTTAATAAGAGGATGTTTGTTTATGTGCAAGATGTTGTATCCACATCAACAACCATACTATTTAGGCAGTACTCAATGCTTTCAGAAAAGCAAACTTTTGAAAGTATGGATCTGAACTAGGATGAAGGGTCAGAAAAGGTTCTGATTTTTACTGTGTAAACATTCTATACTTGTTGATATGGTTTGGCTGTGTTTACATCCAAATCTCATCTTGAATTCCCATGTGTTGTGAGAGGGACGCAGTGGGAGGTAACTGAATCATGGGGCCAGGTTTTTCCCATGCTGTTCTCATGACAGTGAATAAGTCTTATGAGACCTGATGGTTTTATAAGGAGTTTTCCTGCACAAGCTCTCTCTTTGCCTGCTGCCAGCCACATGAGATGTGACTTGCTCCTCCTTGCCTTCTGCCATGACTGTGAGGCCTCCCCAGCCATGTGGAACTGTAAGTCCATTAAACCTCTTTCTTTTGTAAATTGCCCAGTCTCAGCTATATCTTTATCAGCAGCAGCAGCAGCATGAAAACAGATGAATACACTTGTTTTTAATAACACTTGTTATGATTTAAAGATACTATGTTTGCTTTTATTTAATCCATATATATACTTCCACCAGACTGCAAGTTGAAGAAGTATACATCAAAATTGGTAGTCATTAAGGCTACGAGACTGGAAGACTAAAGAAAAGATTTCAACTTGCCATTTCACAAGCTAAAAATGTAATATAATGGAGAGTTTTTTTTTTATTTCTTGCACTTTTTGTTATAAAATATAAGTATACGTTATTAAAAATAGCAAATTTTCCAAAATAAGTAGTGGCCTTCAAGTCCCTACATCCACTAATGAAAGTGGGGATGAGAATATGAAAAAAAATGTTACAACTTTTATAACAAAAACTTTACTTCATTAGATTCTGGTAGTCTTAAGGGTATAGTTTGATAAGTTTTAACAACACACACACCTGCATAACTACCACCACAATCAAGAGGCATTTCTAATGCTCCAAAAGGTTTCCTAAAGTCTCTTGCCTATTACTCTCCTCCAACTCCCACAATACCATCAGCCTCAGGCAACCACTTATCTGCCTTCATCACTACAGATTAGACAGGTGCACATGAATGGAATCATACAGTATAGATTTGTGTCCAAATTCTTTCACCTACTAAGTTTTCAGGATTTATCCATGTTGTTATGTACAATTATACCTCATTACTTTTTAATGCTGAGTAGTACATTAAAATGTGTTTATTCATCTGTTGACGGACATTTGAGTAGGTTCCAGTTCGGGGCTATTGTGAATAAAGCTGTTATGAACATTCTTCTTGTACTAGTCTATGTTGACATAGGTTTTCATTTATGTTGGGTTAATATCTAGAAAGCGGATTGCAACATGATGTTGTAAGTATAGGTTTAACTTTATAAAAACCTTCTATACCGTTTTCCAAAGGGATTGTGTCATTTCACATTTCTACCAGCAATGTATGAGAGTTTCAGTTGTTTCATAACCTGTCCAACCTTTAGTATGGTCTTCTAAATTTTAGCCATGCTAGTGGCTATGAAGTATAAGCAGTAATAAATCCTTTCAGAAAAGCAAACTTCAAAGTATGGATTAACTGACTGAACTTGCATTTCACTGGTGACTAAAGTTGAACTTTATTTCATGCGTTTGCCCATTTAATAAATTGGGTTGTCTTATTAAACAGTTGTAATAGCTCCTTGTATATTCTGGATACAAGTTATTTTCAGATATGTTTTGCCAATGCCTTTTCCCTTCAAGAAAACAGTTTGCTATTTTTTTGTTTCCTTAAAAGTAGGTTTAAAAGAAATTTTACATTTTGATGAAGTCCAATTTATCAGGGTTTTTTTCCTCTTATTTTTTATACTTTTTGATGTCCAATCTAGGAAATCTCTACTCACAGGACCACAAAGATCTTCTCCTGTTTTTTCTTCTAGAAATTTTATAGTTATGGTTCCTACATTTTAACCTATTATTCATTTTGAAGTAATTTTTTTTTTTGCTTTTCGTGTGGAGTAAGGATTTAGATTTATTTTTTTCAAATTGATATCTAGCTACTCTCGTATAGTTTCTCGGCAAAACTATCCTTTCCCCTCAAGTTGCTTTTGCACCATTCTCAAAATTCAATCAACCATCTATGTATAAGTCTATTTCAGACTCTGTATTCTGACCAACTTATCTTTATCTGCCTTCATATCAGTACCACCCCAAATAAACAGAAAGACAAAATAATGACAAATGAGGAAATCAATGACCAGACAATGACCAATGGACAATGAGTAATGAAAACCGATGAAAACAAAAGCTCAATAAAATCATTAATCTTCTTAGCAGGCTAAAAGAAAGAAACACAAATTTCCAATAACAGAAGAAACAGAGGAGGCATCAGAACAGATCCCACAGATATTAAAAGAATGATAAAAGGGTACTACGAAACAATACAATAAATTAAACAACTTATATGAAATGGACAAATATCTTGAAAGCTACTAATAACTAAAACTGCCTCAAGAAGAAAATGTAAATAGCTCTGCATCAATTAAAGAAATTAAATTTATTATTTAAAAACTTCCCAAAATACAATCCAGATAGCATCGCTACTGAATCCTATTAAACAGTTAAAGAATAATACCAATTCTACACAAACTCGGGATTAGAAGAGTTCCCAACTCACTGCATTACCCTGTTACCAACAACAGATAAAGATATTACAATTAAAGGAAACTACAAGAAATATTCCTCATAAACACAGACACAAAATCCTTAAAAAGATAATACCTCATGACTAAGTAAGGCTCATCCTAGGAATGTAGGTTTGGTTTAACTTTTAAAAATCAATCAATATAATTCACCAAATTAATAGAATAAAATATAAATCATGTCATCATCTCAGATACAGAAAAAGCACTTGACAAAATTCAACATGTATTAATGATTTTTAAAAACTCCCAGCAAACTAGGAACTACAGGGCAACTTCATCCTGACAACAACTATGAAAAATGTCAACTAACATAATTCTTAAATGATAAAAGTCACTCCTAAGATCGGGAACGAACAAAGATATCCACTCTTACCCTTTCTATTCAGTATTGTACTGGAAGTTCTTGCCAGTACAAAGAAGCAAAGAAAACAAAATTAACAGATATTCAGATTGGAAATGAAGAAATAAAACTATTGCTCTCTGCAGACAACAGGATTGTATATGTAGAAAAATCTAAATAATCTACAAAAGGTCTATTACAACTAGTAGGTGAGTTTTAGCAAGGTTACAGGATATAAGGTTAATATATAAAAATCAACTGGGGCCAGGCTCGGTGGCTCACACCTGTAATTTCAGCACTTTGGGGAGGTCGAGGCAGGAGGATAGCCTGAGACCAGGAGTTCAACACTAGCTTGAGCAACACAGAGAAACCTCAACTTTACGAAAAAAAATTTTTTTTAATTAGCTGGTGACTGGGTGTGTTGGCATGCACCTATAGTCCCAGCTACTAGGGAGGCTGAGGTGGGAGGATTTTTTGAGCCTAGGAGGATGAGGCTGCAGGGAGCCATGGTTGCACCATTGCATTCCAGCCTGGGCAACAGAGCAAGACCCTGTCTCTACAAAATAAAAATAAAAATCAACTGGATTTCTATACTCACAATGAGTAAGTGAAAATTGAATTTTAAAACCAATACCTTTACAACAGCATCAAAAAACACGAAATATGTAGGGATACATTTATCAATGTATATGGCAAGACATATATTATATGCATATAATATATATACTATATATGCATATAGTTTAAAGAACTTAAAATACAGTACAGTAGGGATACATTTATCAGTGTATATGCAAGACATATATTATATGCATATAGTTTAAGAAACTTAAAATACAGTACAAGTAAAAAGTATGCTGAGCCCTACAGTAAGACTTTGTTAAGGAGAGAAACTCAATATAAAAGGCAAGTCCTCTTTGAATTCTATCCAAGAGGAGCTTTAGTCACATAGTGCTAATAAGCCATGGTCATAAGGTGATCTCGCCTACATGGTTCTATCAGAGAACAGTATTAGTCTCATAACCCACAAAGCATTTCAAAATTCAAGCCATAAATATTAGCTAGTAAAATAAATCTACTACTGAAACTCAGTCTGAAATGCTCTTTACCCTCATAATTCCTCTCTTTGTGTTCTTTCACCAAATGACATATCTGGAAATAAATATTACCAAGTAGTAA